TATTCGGCTGCCGAAGGGAGCAGAGCTTGGGGGTAAATGAGAACGTTCTTTGTCCTCAGCTCTGTCCTCTTTTGCTACCAACTAGTGCCTGGATTGTACCCTGTGGTCCCCGGTTTCTGTCATTCGAACTGCATGCTCTTTTACACCTGGGCCTCAGCACAGAGCTTGACTACACTTTCCAGAATCCGACCTTATCCCACCATAAGCAGCCAACATTCTTGGCTAGAGGATTCTGGGAGAGGATGCCCCAAAACGATGGGTTTCCAGGCTCCACTTTTAAAAACAAAATAGATCAGAATAACCGGATGTCTGCCCCGCTCAGTTCTAGTTGACTTTTTCTAGGGTGGGGCCCAAACTTCCTTTAAGGCTTAGGGTCTTATTCTGCCTTGATGTCTGTATCACTGCAGTAAATCACCACCAGTCCTCCCCGCCTTCTGGCTGGTAACTGTGGGTCCCTGTCTAGGAGAGCTGCTCTTCTGTCCCGCCATGCTCCCTCCCGAAGATGGGTAAGGGGGGGGGTCTTCTTAAGCCCACAATAGCTTTCGCCATGATGCATTTGTCAGTTGCCACAGGACACATGATTATTCTTATTGTTAATATTATTTTGCTATCATAGACTAGCAAAGCTAACCCTCTTTAATAATTGTTAGCTTCAACAATGCACACACAAGCACACACAGAGACATATAGGGTGAGAGGGTGGGAAGAGAGAGAGGGCCATGTGACACAATGAAGATCACTCTTCTCTAGAGTGGGGAGTGAAATGACGGTGTTTTCAATTCTAATAATAAAAAAAAAACCTCTGGGATTTCCGCCACCCCCACTTTTCCTTCTAGTTTGTGGCTACACAAAGAAACTCAGTTGTGAAATAAAACTAACAATTATGAGGAAAAGGGGCCTTATGGGCATTTTGGGGAAATCGTAAAAAACGATTGAAACCAGTGATTTTGAGGACGCACCCTCTAGTCTAAAGGAAGCCTCGAGCCCTCCCAGAGCAAATGGAAGGTGCCAAGAGATCCGTGGCTGAGTTATTCTTTCCACCCAAGGCAATATGGAGACACACACACACGCACACAACTCCTGCTTCCACACTACAGTGGTTCCCTCTTCTGAAGGGCCCAAGGCAAGGTTACAGACAATAGGATCGTCCTAGTTGAAATCACATTAGTGATCCAAAGGGAGGGTCTTGGCAATCCTTCCGTGCCTCGGAAATCTAAGATGAAGCGCCTACTTACTTCTGGAGGACCAACCACAAACGTGGCAGGCAAAATTGCAGACTACAGGAGGCAAGAAAAGCTTCTGCCTCGCTGTGACCATCAGCAGCCAAGAACTTTCCTCTCCTAACCACGGGTTTTCTCTAACGTCAAGTTCAACTGCAGCTCTAAGTTGCACTCTCCAGAATCAAAACCCCGCCAGGCTTGGCTTCCTCCGGTCCTCATTGCGGTCCCTCGCGCACATCTTGTGCTCTCTGGAGGTATGAATCTCACACTGCAAACTCCTGCTGAATCAGGAAGCTGTTTTGGCCCTTCTTGGGCCTCCCTTTTGTCCTTGATAGACACAACCTTTTAATGATCCAGAAGTGGGTGGAACAACGGTGCTTCTTGATGGGCATATTTACCCGAAGACATGTCGCTCTCACCATATACAGTAACTGTGGTTTTGTTGTTGTTGTTGCTAATCTCACAAACAGGATCTCTTGGGGATAATTAGTAATATTAAATAAGCCACCACGTATTACAGCCCAGGGATTACCCCGTGGTGCAACAGGTTGGGGCAAAAGCAAGGACAAGCCCATCTAAGTTCAGCCTTTACATCAACGGATTCCAGAATTGGTGGCCAAGCACTTGTTTCAAGAGTCCTGGGTTCATTTCCTGCACGCTGCCCATCCCGAAGGACGTGAGCAAGTTGAAAAGAAATCAGAGGAAAGCCACTGAAATAGATGGAAACAGACCCAGAAGGCAAATTTCCTAAAGAGGTGCCGTGTATATTTGTGGGAGGAGGCGGAGAGAGAAAGACGAGAGCAAAGAATCTCATGCTAGATGTTTTTCGAAGGTCTAGAATGATAAAAGAAGCCATGACGTTACCGTCTGACTCTCAGGGACTGGATAAGAAAATGCATTTAAATGATAGAACGCCTAAGATTAAATAGTTTTATGTGGGAGCAATTCAGAAACATACGTTGTTACCAAAAGACATGACAGATTTTTTTTTCCTCCCATGGAAAATATTCACAGCAAACTGGACAAGTCTCCTGGCTAAGGATGCTTTCAATACTGTATAGGATATCTAGTTTCTCACCACCAGTCTATCTCTTAGCAGGGTCCCGAGAGGCTTAACCCCTTTCGCTTGCAGATGTTCCGTTTTTACTCTTCTCCAGTTAAAAAAAGATATTGAAAAGCTAGGAGATGTCCAGAGGCTGGTGGCCGTGGTGACCAAGCCCTTTAAGGAAGCTTTAATGGAGATAGCTCTGTTCAGTCTGGAGGTGATATCAAAGCCTTCTTCAAACAGCTGAAAGGTTTTCACCTGGAAGAGGAAGCTTGTTTTCTGTTGCTTCAGAGAATGCAGACTTGAACCAATGGATTCAAAGTGCAAGAGAAGAGAACTAGAAATTCTGACACTAGGACTTGGTCTACCGTGGGATGGATTACCCGGATGCGATCTCGTTGGAAGTTTCCAAACACAGCTTGGACGGCCATCTCTCAGGGGTGCTTTAGCTGTGGATCCTTGAGCTGGCCAAGGATTGGACTACTTCACCCTATGGATCTGGGACTCTGTGTCTGACCAGCCTACTGATCAAAAGAGACAGGGCAAATATTGTATTTTTGCATAGCCTTCAGTTCAGTAAGATACTTCTAAGGGGTTTTCAGTTCTGTTCTCTCTCTCTCTCTCTCTCTCTCTCTCTCTCTCTCTCTAT